GGCCAGGCTCATCTTGAACTTCTGACCCCAGGTGATCCACCCTCCTCGACCTCCCAAAGTGATGGGATTACAGGCGTGAGCCACCGCGCCCGGCCTCCTTTTGTCTTTAGAACATGCATTTATTCACATTTTAGTGGGATTTTGAAGCTGCAGAATGAGGAAGAATGAGGAGAATGAACACAGTCTCTAGGGAGTCCCCTCCCAGACCCAGTTTTACATAAAGCTGCTCCTTCTGACTTGTAGTTTGTTGGTGGGGGAGGATTTCCCATCCTTGCTGTCTGCTCTGGTCCAGAAGAGCTGGCTCTGAGGCTAGTTGAGCTCATGGGTCATGGGGCATGGAAGAGGGGGATGGAGGCAGAGGGCACTGCATTCCCAGCAGTGGCCTGAGTGAGTCCCCAGTCACTGCCATTCAGAGGGACCCCAGTGGTGTGCTGGAGCCAGCTCGTACTGGCTTGTAAGAGCTGGTTGTGCCCATGTCTTCCCTACCCCGCAATCAGTGACTTCCTGTTGGCAGTTTGAAATCAGCTGTGGTGGCAGTATTTACACCACAGAAGCGAGCAAATGCCTACAAATTGGAGTTTCTTTTTTCCAGAGAGCTCATCATTAAACATTTACCAGCACACCACAGGGTGAATTCAGCTGGTTTCGTTCCTAGGAGTCCCGTCCCCCTGTAGGTATGGTGGTGTATTTCGTGGGCATAATTCTTGTGCAGGAGAGGTTGGGGTTGGTGTGGGAAGGAGAGACAGGTGTCCGGAGACCCCGACAAGCAGCCCACAACACAGGCCAGGCTGTCCTGTCGGTCTTTCTTTGAGAAGATGGTAAGCAGTGCGGAGGGAAGCGGAGACCCCTCGAGGCGACCCTAACAGCATAGAATCCGCGTTTTCCTCTTGGCTTGCTGTAGGTTCTCTTTCGAGTTAGAGTTTTCCTCAAATGCCTGATGAGCCTTGGCTGGCCTCAGACCATCTGGCATCTGTACCAGGTCCCTCTTTCTGCTTGGTCATCAGTGTTCAAGGAGCCAGGCACGGGAGGCACGTGGTGGTTTTCTCACTCTCCCTATGTAGACTTTCTTTTAACGCTCCATTTACAGAATGGCACATATCTCTTCCTGAGGCTGTGCCTAGAGACTAGGGCCTCTCTGGCCAAATCTCCAGAAGAACCTTCAACCAGGGTGAGGAGGGGACTGATGCAGGGAGATGCCTGTTCTGCCGCCTCACGGAGGGCATCAGAGAAGCTAATACAAACTTTGGCCTGTCCTATTTTCTGCTCCACATGTGCTGCATCCCAGCCTTCAGGGGCACCTGGTACCTCTGCCTCCCTATTCCTGTGGCAGGAATAGGTTTGTCCCGAGCTCCGCAGCCTCCTCCTCTTTGAAAGCATTTAGGTTTCGACTTTCTCCACTCTCATAAGAAAGACAGTTACCACTTGTTCATCTGCCTTGTTTTCCAAAATTTTATTAGAACCCCCATATCTGCTGTCTTTTTTCCTTTTTTTCCCTTCTTTCTTTCCTTCCCTCCTTCTTTCCCTTTTCTTTCTTTCTTTCCTTTCTTCGCTTTCTTGCTTTCTTTCTTTAGAGATTCACTCTTATTGCCCAGGCTGGAGTGCAATGGTGAGATCTCAGCTCACCGCAACCTCCGCCTTCCAGGTTCAAGCAATTCTCCTGCCTCAGCCTCCTGAGTAGCTGGGATTACAGGCATGCACCACCACGCCCGGCTAATTTTGTAATTTTAGTAGAAACAGGGTTTCTCCATGTTGGTCAGGCTGGTCTCGAACTCCTGACCTCAGGTGATCCACCCGCCTTGGCCTCCCAAAGTGCTGGGATTACAGGCGTGAGCCCCTGTGCCCAGCCCCCTTTTCCTTTTTTGAGACGGAGTTTTGTTCTTGTTGCCCAGGCTGGAGTGCAATGACGTGATCTTGGCTCACCGCAACCTCCTCCTCCCAGGTTCAAGCGATTCTCTTGCTTCAGCCTCCCAAGTAGCTGGGATTACAGGTATGCGCCACCACACCCGGCTAATTTTTGTATTTTTAATAGAGACGGGTTTCTCCATGTTGGTCAGGCTGGTCTCGAACTCCTGACCTCAGGTGCTCTGCCCGCCTTGGCCTCCCAAAGTGCTGGGATTACAGGCGTGAGCCACCGCGCCCGGCCTCCTTTTGTCTTTAGAACATGCATTTATTCACATTTTAGTGGGATTTTGAAAAGAAGAGATAAGTGGAAGTTTTCAGTCTGTGTATAACTTAGAAGTCTTGCTCATTCATTCAGTCAGTCAGTCACCGAACAGACCCTGTGGGCTGTGGGCTGGGTCCTTAAGATGCAAAGATACTAACAGGAACCGTCCCTTCCCTCCTAGATCCTATAGCCTTTGCAGGGTGAGGGGCAGGGTTCCCATGAGGAGTCTTTACTCTCCCAACAGATACCTCCTCCCCTGCCCTGGAGAATGGGCTCCCTCTTGAGGTTCATCTTGGTAATGCAGCCTCCATGGACGCCCTTAGAAACCCTTTACAGAAGCTGGCCAAGGTATCACCTTGATTTGAGTGAGATAGGCCCAGGAGGCAAGTGAACCTGTGCTCAGGATCCTTCTGTGTTTCTGTGGAGTGGAGGGGCAAGCAGGCAGCCTTGGAGGGGGATTAGTCTGGCCTGGGATCGCTGCCCCTCCTGTCTCTTCCTGGCTTGTCTTCCCACCTCTCTGCAGCTGCCCCATCCACTCCCTCCCCTTGGCCCCATTCCGCCAGGTGGAGCCTCTTCCTTTGATCTGGCTTCTGTCCCAGGAGGGATTCGTGCAGACAGAGCAGCGGGGGAAGGCAGGAATCTCCCTCACTGTGTATGCTGTGTGACCTGTACCCTGGCCTTCCGTGCCCTCACGCATACCTTGTGCATACTGCTTCCTTGGGGCCTTGGTGTTGATCTCAGTCCTCCTTGCCTGGCCATGCCTGTCTGAGGGGATTCCATTCCCACCCTGGGCTGGAGACAAGGGGTGGGGACCCTCCTCCCGCAAAGGGAGCAAGCTCTCTGTCAATGGAATTGTTGGGCAGAGGGCCACAAGGGGAGGGCTGAGGGAGAGGGCGCTGGAGCGAGAGGCTCGAGGGGCTCGTGGGGTGCCTCTGGCTCTATCCAGCCCTTCTGCAGAGGTGTGAAGGCTTAGGAGAAAAGCATGATGATGAGGTGGGAAAACTTTGGCACCACCACTAAAAGGCTCGTGAACCTGAGCGGGTGATTTAAATTTTCTGCCCCAAGCCCCTTTTGTCTCATGTGGTAATAATAATACCCACCCCACAGGACTTACGCACCTATTCAACAAGCAGAGTTTCATCCAGTTTTAGCTTTTTAAGAATTCCTTCTTTCTTTTTTTTGATTCGGAGCTTCACTCTTGTCACCCAGGCTGGAGTGCAATGGTGCGATCTCGGCTCACTGCAACCTCCGCCTCCCGGGTTCAAACGATTCTCCTGCCTCAACCTCCTGAGTAGCTGGAATTACAGGCACCCGCCACCACACCCAGCTAATTTTTGTATATTTAGTAGAGATGGGGTTTCGCCATGTTGGCCAGGCTCATCTTGAACTTCTGACCCCAGGTGATCCACCCTCCTCGACCTCCCAAAGTGATGGGATTACAGGCGTGAGCCACCGCGCCCGGCCCCAGGAATTCTTTCTTTAATCATATGTGCGTGCATGCAAGCACTCAATATTTTACTGGGTTCAAGTCGGTCAGTCAAATGTTACTCTTAAAAAGGTAATTTAGGAGAGTCGATGTGGGGACTATTAACAGAGAGGTGGGCATAGTTAAGGGAATGGTGATGTACCCAGAGAGTAGCGAGAGGGAAGCCCTTATCATGCCTGGCAGGGCAAAGGGAGGGAGCCGTGATTACAGGAGCCCAGAGAGCTATGGCAGGAGCGGTGGTTGAAGGTGGAAGGAAATAACCGCTGCCCCAACCCTAAGTTGGCAGGGAGCAGTGAGGACAACAAATGTCCCAGCCCTTCTCCCTCTCCACCCTCCAGTCTTCCTCCAGCTTCTCAGTGGATGAACCCACCTGAAACCAGAGGGCAGCAGAGTCTGAGTGATGCAGTCTGTGGGGTCAGTCTCCTGGGGCTCAGACCTGGAGGAGAAAGGTGGAGAATGAGTGGGGGCAGGGCAAACAGAACAACCAGCCCACGACTGTGTGGAATATGTGGTACCAGCGGCTGGGGGCAGGCGAGACACAATAACACAATGGTCTCCACCCTCTGTGCTTGCTGGGTTCCTTAGAGCAGGCTGGCAAGAAAGAGTTGCCTATATAATACTTCCAGAAAGAAATGAATGTTATGTCCACGTTATTGTAGAAGAATGAATGTCAGAATAGACTCTAAGGTGACCCCAGTGATTTCTATCTCCTGTTGTTCCTGCCTTTGTAAAATCCTCTCCCTTTGAGTGTGGGTGAGGCCCGTGACGGTGCTAACCCATAGAATATGGCAAAGAACGTCACTCTGTGGATTATGTTAGGTTATATAGACTTCAGCAGATTGCAGAGAGACTCTTCTCGCTGACTTGAAATAAGCAGCCGTGGTGAGGAAGGTGGTGTAACAAGGAATGGAGGGTAGTCTCTAGGACCTGACTGGGCCCCAGGCAATGTCAAGTGAAAAGCCAGCTCCCTTGCCACAGAGCCACGACAAAATGAGTTCTGCCAACAACTTGAATAAGTTGGAAGTGGCTTCTTCCCCAGTTGAGCCTCCAGATGAAAATACAGCCCAGGTGACACCCTGAGAGCAGCCCTGTGAGACCCTAGGCAGAGGACCAGCTAAGCTGTGCCTGGACTCCTGGCCCATAGAAACTGTGAGATAATAAATGTATGGCTGGGCATGGTGGCTCATGCCTGTAATCCCAGCACTTTGGGAGGCCGAGATGGGTGGATCACCTGAGGTTGGGAGTTCGAGACTGGCCTGACCAACATGGAGAAACCCCATCTCTACTAAAAATACAAAATCAGCCGGGCATGGCGGTGGGTGCCTGTAATCCCAGCTACTCCAGAGGCCGAGGTGGGAGAATCGTTTGAACTTGGGAAGCAGGAGGTTGCGCTGAGCTGAGATTGCGTCATTGTACTCCAGCCTGGGCAACAAGAGTGAAACTCCATCTCAAATAATAATAATAATAAATGTGCGTAGTTTTAAAACTGCTGACTTTGTGGTTGTTATGCAACATAGAAAACTAATATAACACACACATTAGCCAGAGTTCATCACAGAGACAGAGCCAATAGGATATATATAGAGGTGTGAGAGAGGATTTATTAGGGGGATTGGCTCACACGTTTATGGAGGCTGAGAAGTCCCACAATATGCCATCTGTAAGAAGGAGAACTGGGGAAGCCAGTAGCATGGTTCAGTTCAATCCTAAAGGGTTCAGAGCCAAGGAAACTGTTGGTGTAACTCTGGGTCTGAAGCTGAAGGACTGAGAACGTGAGAGTGGGGAGGGGTTGCTGCTGGTGCAAATCCTGGAGTCCGAGGGCAGGAGAAGAAGGGTGTCGCAGCTCCAGGGGAGAGAGGGAGAGAGGGAGGGGGAGAGAGAGAGAGAGAGAATTCACCTTTTGCCTGCCTTTTCCTTCTATCCAGGCCTAAGCCAATTGGATGGTGCCCACCCACATAGGCTGAAGGCAGATTCTCCTTACTTAGTCTATGTATTCAAATGCCAGTCTCTTCGGCAAGCACCCTTACAGAAACACCCAGAAATGAAGCTTTACCAGTTTGCTGGGTATCCCTTCATCCAGTCCTAAAATTAACAGTCACAACACATAAAATATCAGGATGCTGCGGGAGGAAGATATTTGAGAGCGATTTGGGAAGGCTTCACAGAGGAGGTGGCATTTGTGCTTACACATGAAGAGGGAGAGGGATTTAAATAGACAGAGAGGGAAAGATGAGCTGCTGCCTTGTCCCCAACCTCTTCATTTCCCAATCTCGGGCCTGAGAGGCCTCTGCAAGGACACATTTTCCAGCTGGGCCCCAAGCAAGTTCCCAGAAGGAGTCCTTCTCTCCTCGTCCCTTAACTTGTTGTGGAGAACCCGACTGAAGCAGGGAGAACTCAGCTCCCCACCCCCGTGTACCCGCCGTCAATTTATGCGGAGTAGAGGTACAACAGTCTCAGTTGGTCTCTTTTTCAAAAATAACTATCCTCTTTGATTTTGTGAGCAACATATGCTCATCATGAACAATTTTTTTTTTTCCTTTGAGACGGAGTCTTGCTCTGTCGCCCAGGCTGGAGTGCAGTGATGCAATCTCAGCTCACTGCAAGCTCCGCCTCCCTGGTTCAAGTGGTTCTCCTGCCTCAGCCTCCCGAGTAGCTGGGATTACTCAGTCTTCCAAGTAGCTGGGATTCTAGATGCCCGCCACCACATCAGGTTAATTTTTGTATTTTTAGTAGAGACGGGGTTTCACCATGTTGGCCTGGCTGGTCTCGAACTCCTGACCTTGTGATCTGCCCACCTCAGCCTCCCAAAGTGCTGGGATTACAGGCATGAGCCTGAATCTGATAAGGTTTTAACAAAGGCCTCCACCTTCCCTAGGGCCTGACTACAGCTGGTAGGTGGCCCGTGTGAGGCAAGTTGAATGTCTGTTCCTACACATAGCCCTTCTAGCCGTCCAGGGCCCAGAGTGAATGGGGCTAAAGGGACAAGAGCATGATTGGCTCTAACCTAGGGATGCTGCTGTGTCCAAGATGCAGTATAAGTGCACCTAGACTGTAGTGAACAGCACGCCAGACGTGCTACAGTAATAGGTACAAAATAACGTCATAGCCAAGATTTATGGGACACTTACTCTGGGCCAGACCTTGTTCTAAATGCTTTTCTTATATTAACTCACATACTCTTTTTTCTTTTCTTTTTTTTTTTGTTATCATCTGAGATAGGGTCTCGCTCTGTCATCCAGGCTGGAGTGCAGTGGTGCGATCTTGGCTCACTGCAACCTCTGCTTCCTGGGTTCAAGCGATTCTCCTGCCTCAGCCTCCCAAGTAGCTGGGATTACAGGAGTGTGCACCATCACACCTGGCTAATTTGTGTATTTTTAGTAGAGATGAGGTTTCACCATGTTGGCCAGGCTGGTCTCGAACTCCTGGCCTCAAGTGATCCATCCAGCTCGGCCTCCCAAAATGTTGGGATTACAGGCATGAGCCACCGTGCCCAGCCCCACTTACTGCCCTTAACAGCCCTATCAGATGGGCACCATTATTCCTATTTTAAGAATGAGGAAACTGAGGCTCAGAGAGGTTAAGTTACTTGCTCAAGGTCACCCAGCCAGTAATGTAAGCAAGAAACAAGCTTGTGTTGTTTTCAGCCACTGAGATTTTAGAGTGGTTGGTTACTGTAGCATAGCCTAGCCCATTGTGAGATATGTATACACATATATTTGATATATGTTACCTATTGTATAAATTGTATATTTATATAAATCTATTTACATGTAATTATATATTATTTATATAAATTGTATAAATTGTGTATCAGTGCACAACTTGATCAAGCATTCAAGGCCCTGGTGGGGAACGCAGAAATATGGGCAATGGTTCCCTCTAGATGAGTTAGGAGACCTGGGTGTGGCACATGTGTAAAGGAGGAAGGCAAACAAGGGAAAAACGGCAGGGCAAGCACTGGCTTTAAGTTTTCCTGGCAGCATCCAGATTAAGTGCACCTGCACCCAAATGCTGGTTCCATAATTGAGCCAACTTTTAAATGTGTGGCCAGGGAGTACACATCCCACCAGGCATCAGAGAAAGCTGTTGCTGCATAGACAGGCCCCCCAGGCTTGGCCTGGGAGCTTTCCAGGCCCAGCAGATAGCAGCTCACCCATGCACCTGTGTGCCTGCACTCTCCCACTCACACACACCCCAGGGCACCAGGCACACACTCCATGTCCCCTACCCGTGCCCCTAGAAGGTGATGGTGATGGTGTGAGGCTCAGAGTCAGATGGAAGGTTGAATTCAGGGCTCTCAAGATGGGAAAGATGCAACCTTCAGGAACACGAGAGTGTGGCCAGAACAGGACCAGTGTGTAAGAGTGTGTGTATGTGTGTGCACTGGTGTGTACTGGTGCAGGCTAATGTAGGAGGGGGTTCTCTCTGGCTGTTCAAGGCTTATCTTGGAAGCCCACAGACTCTGCATCCACCCAGGTGCCCTTATATGTTAGCACATCCATGGTACGATTGGACCCACTCAGTCATGATGGCCAAGTGCAGTGCACAGCCTGGATAACTGTACACAGCAGCCCTGTCAGGAGCCCACAGTTGGCCATCTCTGGACAAGAAGCCAGCTCTATCTCATATACCTCAATTCCATGATTGAGGGCAGAATCCAAAAGCATTGTGAATCCACTCAAACCGGGAGAAGAAGGTCGCAAAGGTCATAGGATCAGAGCAGCTTCTGGCTGACACCCACTCCGTGGTGGTAAGAAGGGATTAGGAGATTGCAAACTGGGTTAAAAAATCCTCTCACCTATAGCTCAAGGCTGTAATCCTAAGGACTCTGCTTCTCTAAGCCTTGTTCTATTTTCAACTCTCTTCTCCAGGGTACAGTCTCCACTGGGGCTGCAAGGATTTAGTGGAGACTCTTAACACCAGTTCTCTGGCATCTGTGAGTTTGAGTGTGAGCCATCAGCTTCTTCCTTCTTCTCTCTTCCTCTCCACATTTCCCGGTACCATCTGATCCATCAGGCCCTTCTTTGCTCAGGCCCGAAGGACTCAGGCCTGTGAGAGGACGGCCCGTTGTCGCCAAGACACCTCTGGGTGAGGAGCAGCGAACAGGACCTGTCCATCTCAGGCGTCAGCCCCCTGAAGGTCTGAGCAATGGGCAACGTGATGGAGGGAAAGTCAGTGGAGGAGCTGAGCAGCACTGAGTGCCACCAGTGGTACAAGAAGTTCATGACTGAGTGCCCCTCTGGCCAACTCACCCTCTATGAGTTCCGCCAGTTCTTTGGCCTCAAGAACTTGAGCCCGTCGGCCAGCCAGTACGTGGAGCAGATGTTTGAGACTTTTGACTTCAACAAGGTGAGCGGGGGCCCAGTGGCAGGGAGGGGGAGTGCTGGAGGGACCCCTCTGGAAGCCTGACCAGCTGAGGGTGAGGAAGAGCAGAGAGGAGCGTAGAAGTGTCCGCTGGGGAGCGACTTCATTTATTCAGTCATTTGTTTGCTTGAGAGGTGGGTTTTTGACGCTAGGGTTTCAACGGATCTAATGTTTGTGCTTTAATGAGCACCGACTGAATCAGGCACTGGGGGGTTAGAAATGAATCAGACACTGTCCCTGCCCTTACTTTCTAGGGCAAGACAGAGAGGCCCCAAAATTAGTGTAATCTGAGGCTGAATCCAATGGCTTCCTCTGCCTCTGCCACAGGCATATCTTGGTTTACTCCAAAACGAGTGTAAACACTTCCAAGATGGTCACTGAACACCTGCGATGTGCTGGTCCCATACGTGGTGCTTTTGCAAAACCCTTTGAAGCTTTCAAGGGTGTGGGTGGAGGGGCAGAGAGCGGGGAGCAAGATGATGATTCCCCAGCCTTGCTGTCTGGCATGGGCAGGCCACTCACAATGCTCTGTGGACATGAGGACTGGAGACAGACAGGGTTGCCTGATCCCTGGAGAATCCAGAATACTCCCAACCTCAAAATACCCAGTGACCTCAGATCACTGGGTATCACCTTTTCTCAAATGAGCCTGAAGGTCCACACAATGGTCATATTGTGTGTCTCCCTAGTAGCCCCCTGGATGCACTGGGTAAGGGCTTCCTGATTGGTAAGCTAGAGGGGTCACTGAAAGGCGAATTTGGGACTGTGGGTTTGGGTCGCTAGCTTTCATCAGCTGGGTGACCTTGAGCCCATCATCTCCCCTCTCAGTCTTGGGGATGCTGTGGATGTCGGGAGAATTAGTTAAGAAGTTTGTTGGTTTTTGTAGTAAATCTTCCATTCATTTGGAACTATTTGGTCAAGACATAGTTGTGGAAGAACCCAAATCTGCAAACGTGGCTCCCCGCCCTGTGGCCCCTCACTTGAAAAGTGAGGACGAAATGAGGCGCTGCCACATGTCCTCCACAGACCCGGGAGAGGCTCCTTCCCTCGCTGCCCGAAAGGTCCAGGCACCATCATGGGTGGGGCTTCTTGGGAAAGCTGGGGCTCAGTGGCTATTTAAAACTCACTAATATTTGAGGATAAGGGACCAAAGTAGATTACAGGCTTTGAGTCCCAACCTCAAGTGTGGTATGAGGGAGCCCGAGGGCTTTCCCGAAGTGGGAGCAGGTGAGCAGAGTCCAGAGCCTGTGGTACGGAGACTTGAGGGGATGGCGTCATCATGTTCAACACTCAAAATGCTCCCAAAGAAGGAATAACTCTTTTTTTTTTTTTTTTTTTGAGACGGAGTCTCGCTCTGTCACCCAGGCTGCAGTGCAGTGGCGCAATCTTGGTTCACTGCAAGCTCCGCCTCCTGGGTTCACGCCATTCTCCTGCCTCAGCCTGCCGTGTAGCTGGGACTAGAGGCGCCTGCCACCGCACCCGGCTAATTTTTTGTATTTTTAGTAGAGACGGGGTTTCACCGTGTTCGCCAGGATGGTCTCGATCTCCTGACCTCGTGATCTGCCCGTCTCGGCCTCCCAAAGTGCTGGGATTACAGGCATGAGCCACTGTGCCTGGTCAGAAGTTTTGATACAGAGAGGAGTTAAACAAAACAGGGATAGGCAAATGACAGCACACAGGCCTGTTTTTGTAAATGAAGTTTTATTAGAACTCACCACATCTATTTATTTACATAGACAATTGTCTATGGCTGCTTTCACGTGAAATAACAGAGGGTGTGTGGCTGCAAAGCTGCATATTTACTCTTTGGCTCTTTATAGAAAAAGTTTGCCAGTCCCTGCACTAAAAAATGGTTGTATCTTTGGGATGTGCAGGGCTGGGGAGTACAGAACGTGAGCGGGGACTGAGACCTGGGGGACAGGCATTTGCCTTGCTTACTTCAAATGTTTGTCTGGGCTTGGGTTTGTCTGACGATCACACAGGTGCACACAAATCTATGTAAATCTCCATCTGCATTTGAGGACTGGTATAGGATGATTTAGGAGACCCAGTTTTCTAGGCGAGACTTTGTCATTCACTAGCTGTGTGGCCTAATCTCTCTCAACTTTGACTTTCTCAGTCAAACTAGAGACAAAAATACTCACCTCTTGGGGGTGGCCGTGAGATTAAATGAGTAAAGTGAATAAAGCTGTCAGCCTAGGAAGTCCATGGAGAGCACTAAAAAACCGTTAGTATTGCTATATATTTTCATTGAATCTAATGCATACCATAACCTTTTTTTTTTTTTGAGACGGAGTCTCTCTCTGTCGCCCAGTGGTATGAGGGAGCCCGAGGGCTTTCCCGAAGTGGGAGCAGGTGAGCGGGGGAGTGCTGGAGGGACCCCTCTGGAAGCCTGACCAGCTGAGGGTGAGGAAGAGCAGAGAGGAGCGTAGAAGTGTCCGCTGGGGAGCAACTTC